CCAGCGTGGTATAGTAGACCAAGTCCTTCTTTCTAAGGGCCAGGCCTATGTTCAACAGTGGACTAGGGAGCAGGTTTGGGTTTCGGTAATTTCACTTGCTCGGTGAATAGCAGCTAAAGAATGGCTTAACACCCAAAAATTTTTTATCAAGGAATGAAGTGATCTTCCGTGTCGCTGTCAGACGCTGTTCGGGTCTAAAACTAGATATACTATTAGACACACTAGCGGCGTGTACAAACTTATATGTGCTTTGAGGACGCAGTGACGTAGTGGTAGTGTATTCAGGTGTCATGTTAAAGGTCGCGGGTTCAATTCCCGATCAGTGTAAATATTTGTGTGCATGAATATTTGTTTGCATTTGGCTGGGTGTTTTTGTATATGTATAATATGTATGTATATAATTACAAAAAAAAAACAAAATATCGGTATGTTTACTCGTATTTTAGAACTAATAGACAATCCATGATCAACAGCGATGTGTAATATGTCAGTGAGTAATATATTTCATGAGTGAACTAATCTACGTCAGAGAATGAACATTAAATTTGATTAGTAATGTAGCTGGCCAAATAGACTCTAAGATACTCGCCTATATAGGTTGCATCACGTACATTATCATATATATGATCATTGCAATGTCAAGAGTATATTGACCCCAACGGTTGCATCCTTGAAATTTTTTTCCCGCTTATCTTCCATAGATAATTTTATTTTTTTAATGCAGCTCTTTATAAATAAAGATAGATGATGTATTTGCGCGTGTTAGCGCACGAATTCCTGTCTGTGAGTAATGTCGCCAGGTTTTTTATTTTATTTTTAAGACTACAGAAATATCTTGTGTGTTTGAAGCTGTTGTGATATTTCTGTCTTTTTCTATTGCAACGTGACTTTACAGTGTTTGAGGATTATTAAGAATATGACGTCATTTGATGTAGTGATCGAGCTTCTGTCATGGATGGGTATTGAAAGCTTTTAAGCGTAGAAAAGATAGTAGTAATTAACTCGTTGAGTGTAAAATTGTTGTAAGTCAACTGAAATTTGTATAAAACCATGTATTGTATGAATCTGCCTCGATGGCGCAGTGGTGATTGCTGTGCTGAGGTCTCGGGTTCGATAGCCGGGTCGGACCAAATGTTTGTATGATCTGCAAATCTTTAGGATTTTGGGTATTTTTTATGTATAATATGTGTGTATTTACAAAAAAAGTATATAAGTATTCTATCAGTCATTCTAGCTTTCATAGTACAAGCTCTGCTTAGTTTGAAACTAGATGGCGTCGTGTGTCAGTTGTCCGAAATCATTTGAATAGTACGCACTTCCAGGGCCTCAATTCTGCTATTGTATGTTCAGACCATATGCACACTTGTCACATGCTATAAATTAAAAAGGTAGACTTAATAAGATTACCTGTTAGCGTATTATAATAATAACTAGCTCTAAAGGCTGCACTTCAGACATTTAGAATGTATGGTAGAATAAAGAAACACACACATATTATTATATAAACACGAATATTGAAAAGGTTTCACCTTTTTTTTTGGGTGTCGTGTAAACCTAAAAGTCATATGAAGTGTTTTAAACAAGCCACAAAAACCACTAAACTAAGAATGCATGGTCACTCAACTGACCTTCGACATACTTTATTTCTGTTATGTTTAGATAAGCAGTTTTTAACTTGTACGTTTATGAATTGATATGTTAATATCTGCCTATGTTTTGATTTTTCGACACAGTTTTAAAATTATAGAGTATTTAAATAGTTGAATATATCTAACTTGCTTGCTACTTATATACTAGATAGCTATTACTAGCTATCGTCCGTGGCTTCGCTTGCATGATTCGGCATTTATTATGTCGTGTTTATTTTACCTCCTTAGCGGTGAAATTTTTAATAATCCTTTCTTAGTGGGCGCTTACAGCACAAAAAGCATTTAGGCTCCGCGTTGATGAATCAGCCAGTTCGGGCTAGTAATTTTATATGTATTGATAAATGAGTAAGTTTGATAAATGGATGTTCCTTAATAAGGAATAAAATACAATTTATTGACTAAGAAATACAAAAATAGAAAAAAACATTATTTTTTTTTAAATGCCGTTTGATGTAATAAGTATGATTGATGAATGATTTTTACTCGATACCAAACTGATCCTCCAAGTGCAAGTCGAAAAAGCCGCAAGGGCAGATTTCATATATAAACCTAACTATACCCAAATTGTTGACAATAACGACCTAAAATATCAAGCGACAAATAAACCACTAAAGTTGTATGAAAAGAATATATTATGGAATCATTATATTCATAAAATAACTTTGCAGTCTTGTACAAGAAAAAAAATCGCGTATAGAATACGTCTCAATATCTTTTCTTTCAAATTTATACAATATCTTATAATAGCATCAGTATGAAATGAATGTTATTAGACATTCCAACTTCCTGGTTTATTTTTGTGTGCTCGTAGTTTAATAAAATCTAAATAGAATAAAAATAAAACCACCTTTTTGCATCTAAGTGAATAAACCCGACCTATGATAACAAGACCTTGAAAACTAAAATAAATTCATATGATATCAACTCCAGACAGAACTCGACATACTTTGCAATTTCAATGTTTTCTATTGTTTGTTTATAACTGAGACAGCTACACAATGCGTCTAATTTCTATATAGGTAGGTTCTAATTACATATATATTATGGTAAAATAACTAAACGAAAGCCAAATGATCGTGGCTGTCACATAATGTTTTTTTCGAATCGAACCCACGACCTCTGTTTGAGATTTTACGCAGACGTAATTACGCGCGCCAGGTAGTAAAGGTTAACATACATAGTATATATTATGATATATATCGGTACAGATCCTGATGTATTGCTTTTAATTAGAGAAACCGAAAATCGAACTATGTCCAGCCTGCAATGGACTGCGACAGGCTGACGAGGATGATGATAAAGATTTTTAATAATAGTTCTTAGTGGAGTTCAGTGTCATGACTTAGAGAATAAAAAAATTTTTTACGAAGAGTGCAAATAAGTATATAATCAGTAATCACCTATATATCACTATTTAATCACCACAACAGTTAATATTCATCAATCCCAATAAAATATAGTTCCTAGAACAGTGCAGTGGTTTTTGCTAATAATCTATAATTTATGTTTATTATATCAAGGCGAACGCTTATTCTAACAGGAAGTAAAAAAATATCCTGTTATAAACTGATTATCTACTTTGATTGCAGTCAATTTATTGTTTAAATTAATTCAAACCTTTTTGATTATATCTTAAAATCAGACCACGTGTTTTAAAATCCATTTTTATTAAAAGAGAAGGTTCTTGATATTGTCCCCCGCAAAACTAGTCTCGTTAGCTGGTTGGCGACAAAGGCATATGCTCATTCTTGCTTCACGAAGCTCTTTGCTTCGACCACCCACGTTGTATAATGCACGGCAAAAGCTGAGATGTGTAAACTTGCTGTTGGTAATATTTACGCGGCTACGGCGAATCGGTTATGTGCGGCCTTAGGTTCCCTGTAACTACTAAAAAGGTTTTATTTTTTTTATTTATTAAGGCATATTTACCGAGTAAACACGAACATTCACATACTATAATCATGTTAAACTTAGGTATACATGTTACTCTAATTACAAATATGCATAGAATTCACTCATAGACGGTATGTTATAAAATAAGAAAATAGCAATTTAAGAGATTAGCAGACTAAATTTATGATGTAACCTTACGGCTGGAAATATGACCTTTGAGAGTGTAAGGTCCGATTTTAACCCATAAAGGAACCAAGATTCAGAGACAACAAACCATTTTTTTATTGTGTACTCTATACAGATGAGTAAATATTACTCACACATAGAACATAGTCTATTTAAACAACATACTACGTCATGCCTAAATAATGAGCTTTGCTCGGCCAGAAGTTACCGTTACTTTTGTGACGCCCAAGTGTGAGTTTTTTTCACATCTACTGGATCGTCACGGTGATCGCGTTCAGCGTTGTGATTGGTGAAGAGTTTAGTTCCGGCCAATCACCGTGACGATCGAAGTAGAAGTGAAATAAACCTGCCCTAGTGTGTATATAACACTGTGCCCTAAGTTCTAAATGATATAGCTGACGTCAATTCGTTAGGAGCTTCTACGTAGAATGTCTGCTAACTCAATCTCTTACAGTTTTCTGGACGATGTTTACGATTATTTGTTATGCTATAATTTGGCTACGCTTTATTTTAGCGGTGAGAGCGTATCTCGTAAGAAGTTTGACTTGTTTTCAATTGGTTGCGGGATCGAACCCAGCCTGGTACGCTTTTGATACATATATGCATTCCTAACAGTAGGCGGAATTCCTAACATTACTCACTTTCGATCTGGCTGGTGGTATGCTTTTTGTTTTTAAAAAACGATTTATAGACGTTTTATAGTTTCATTTATAAGGATTTTTATCTTATAATTTAGCTTCGATCAAATATATAATAGCCATTCTTCCAAGCAACGAACTAAAGAACGAAAACAAAAGAATTGCTTAACACGGGGATTTCCTATAAGGGCGTGGGATTGCTCCAGTAAAACTGGTCCATATGTGGCGAAGCGTGGCTCTCTATAGAACACATCATCATCACACATCAACAGCCTTTAACAGTCTACTGCTAGACATAGGCCTCTCCTTAGAAAGGAGGTATTGGCCGCCTACTAGCTGGCCAGAGGGCTTGTGTACGGTTTGTGTGAAGTTTTCTTTCTCTTTGCTGTTCTATTGTCCTGCGTAGTTTGCTCCCTTAGTCGGCTCTAACGACACCTACGGGATGAATAGGGATGGTGACACTCTGTATTCTTAATTTCTTGATTAAGAATACAGAGCTTTCTATAGAAGACTGGAGCTATTTTGATACATTTTTTCTACCACACACTTAAGATAATTATATCTTGTTCTACTACATTCAGTTTCATATTATACATTCCACTCAACCTGTGACATATTGTTCTAGGTGCAAATGATGTCAGCGGTGAGCGGTGAGCAGATGCTAGTACGTCGTGTGAAGCAGGAAACAGAAGCTCCTCCACAGTACTCGCCACCAGAACCACAACCCCCCCATCCACAGCCCCTGCACCCTAGGACTATGCCCATGATGCAGCCACCAGAGGTAATTGACATTGAAATATAAAACAAGACAAATAGTTTTTATAGAAAACATTAACAAATCTCTTAATAGTGATTTCCTTTTCAACTTGAGTGATATTTTCTTTTAAATAAGTCTTATTCCACTCCAATTTCGTAATGTACATGACGATCAACAGCAGAGCTCGTAAACATTATATACCTATGAAACACTTTAGTCTCAAGGAGATACACATTTTCGAAAACCACATTGGAGTACCTACGAGTGGAGTGGTTTTATAATCTATACTAATATTATAAAGCTGAAGAGTTTGTTTGTTTGTTTGAACGCGCTAATCTCAGGAACTACTGGTCCGATTTAAAAAATTCTTTCAGTGTTAGATAGCCCATTTATCGAGAAAGGCTATAGGCTATATATCATCACGCTAAGACCAATAGGAGCGGAGCACCAATGCAGAATGTTTCAAAGACGGAGAAAATTTATTACTATTGAGAGACGCAGACAAAGTTGAGCGGGTCAGCTAGTCTAGTATAATCCTTAACAAAAAGAAATAAGTGGTGAAATATTTTTACGTTATGTTTTTTTTTTAAAGACAACTCCAGCATTAGGAATATATCCTGTGTCGCGGGGGACTTTACAAACATACATGAAACGGACACAAAGACCACCCAGACTCAGAACAACAATTTGTGGATTACACAAAGTGTCGTCCCATGTGGGGTTTGAACCCACAACACTCGGTGTAGTAGGAAGCGGCGTGGCGACCGCTTAAACAACTACGCCATCCGTGCAGTCAGTGCAAGAGAGGAAAGAGATGGATAGTTGTTGCAGGGTCTATCAACAAGGTCCTTAATAAAAACCCAGCTTCTTCCTATTTTAGGCACAGTATGGCTATTTTTAGCCGCTCCGATTTCGACACACCGCCCACTAAAAATCCCGGTGGAATGAAGGCCCGAGGGGGTTCTTCCCACACGTAAAAAAAGGGCAATGAATAAGCCACTAAATTTTTAAAATTGGTCTTAAAAATAATCTTTAGTTTATGTTTAGTGGTCAAAAATTTTCTATAATATTTTAATTAAGTAGATAATAAATGAGCTACGTAGACGTGTCGTAGCCGTCGTAGCAAACTCGTAGATGTCTTAGCAGGAGGTTAATTGTCAATACATCATTACTAATAGCAATACTCATACTCATCGTTAAGTACCATTTAGGCTTAGGCCATCGTTAGATAGTAATTTATGAAGGATTTATTTAATTTTTGTATAAACTTGAAAAAGCATCGCAATTACTTTGTACTACTAGTAACTTTTTTTGTATTCTATAAATATACTAATTCAGAATATTATTTAAGTTTAGATTCCAAATAAACAACATCCTACAGAAATGAGTAATGATAATTAAAATTCATTAAAATTGTTTGCGTTGTCGAGAAATAAGTACCCTTTTTTATATTTTATATATGTTTTTAAAGAAGCTTTTAAATAACTTATATTTTGACCGTAGCCATCTTCGTTTTAAATTTTGAAAATTTTTCTCATCAATTCCATCCATTTTATTCCAATTCCAATTGTTGTTCTGAGTCTGAGTGTTGTTTGTGTCCGTTTCATGTTTGTGAAATTCCCGCGACTCAGGGAGTTGACTCCTAGTGCTGGAGTTGTCTTAAAAAAAAACTCAATCTGATTTATAATTTAAATTTGGTAATATGAAAATTTAAGTTTTAATTGAATCTGGAATGTGACTTATATCATGCATTACATAATTATTACGGGAGATAACGCAATGACGCAATTTAAATTGTTTGGCGTTACGATCAAGCTGTACTGGCCGTGGTCACAGACTGACTGAGCTGAGCTCGTATGTCGATCAAGGAATGCGAAAATTTGAGAATTTCACTTCTGTAATTTGAGTCTGGGGTTACACCAATGTGATTTATTTAAAATTGAAATCGGAACAAAATGATGGCTAAAAAATTCTGTATTTCATAATAGCTGTATACTTTTGTCAAGTGTATAGTTTTTTTTTGTGATGTATACATCCTTTTTTGTCGAGTATACAGTTGTCTACTTTTTTTACCAGTTGGAACTCGAACCTAAGGAAGAGGTGAAGTTCTGTGTCTCTCCTGGTGACGGAACAATCGTCGGCAACACGAGCCCTGAGCAACAACACTGTTCTTCGACTACCGCAGCTGCTGCCAGCGGTGCAAGAGATGACGAAGCCCCTAAGCGCTGGTGTTTAGTGTGTGGTGATACTGCGTCAGGGTTCCATTATGGAGTGGCCAGCTGTGAGGCCTGTAAGGCGTTTTTCAAGAGGACTATACAGGTCAGTAGGAAGGTGAAGATATTTTCATTGTTTATTAGATTTAATTTTATTTTGGTGTTGGTGTGTCAGAGATCATTTAATAGTTAGAAGGCAGAAGTGCTTTGGAGGTTTTCAATCAGCATTCTATGCCGTCATATTACAAATAATTTGACCGATAAGGTTAAGATCACTGATAAATTATTATAAACTTGAAATTATTTTCTAAAAGTAGATTTAAGTCAGATGTAGATGTCGACAAATTTAGTCACATGGCACGTGGCTCTGATAATCTAAAATGGAATAAATTTAATTTAACAGTTACCGCAATGGCGTAGGTACGTAATATAAACAATTTCATTATAAAGAAAAAATATAAAACTGATTTGAAAGCTTTTTTTGTAAGTAGGTTAATACAATATTAAACAAAGCTCTTAAAAATAGTTGAAGGCTACCTAAATGGTTATTACTATCATATTTTTCGGAGATTTTTTGGAACTTAAAATATTATGGTATAGGATTGTAGATAATTAATTCTTAAAGCTCTTAAATATTCTTAGATAGCGGCAGACTCGAGTCCTTTATAAACATATTAAATCTGTCTAGCTCTTCTAAAATCTACTTTATTTTTTGAGTTTCAATCAATGTTGTCGCTTAACGTCTACAGGTTTATTGAGTGGTGAAATGTGTCTGCGTATATTTTTATCGATAGCGATAGGGATTAAATCTGTGGTACAAAATAAATTTAGAATGTCAAGAGTGAACGTAAACTTGCGAAACATATGCTATAATACATTTACGTCTGTCGATATTTCTTTGTTTGGCGGCCCGTCCAAACAAATTACTAAACATTCAACAAAGTTACATACTTGGGAAAAAATCAATTGCTGTAAAGCGAAACTTAAATGATTAATGAGTTGTAAAGATGGATTCAGATATTGGTTTTCGCTTACATGAACATAGATCCGATGAACCTTTTAATTTTTTTATGGCGTACGGAGCAAACGACCAGACAGGTCAACTGCTGGTGATTAACAACTCAAGAGCCACAAGTACGTCTTCACCCCTTGAGTCCTTCCCCCTAAAATCAGAGCGAGAGGGGTTTGGGCTACGGTAACCTCATTCACTCGGTGAAGAGCAAGTAAAGAATTGTTTAACATTCGTTTTCTGTGAGGACGTTGTGGCATTACGTGTGATGTCGGATTAAGAATAAAAAGTGTCATCTATTCATCCCGTGGGTGTCGTAAGAGCCGTCTAACTATGCAGGAGAAAACACTGCAAAAGAGAAGGAAAACTTGAAACAAACCCTTTCTTTTTTTTTTTTTTTAACGTGTGGAAATCCCCTCGGACCGTCACCCCTCCGGGGTTTGCGGCGGGGTGGTGTGTCGGACTCGGACCGACTAAAACCACACGGTGTGCCACTTTGCGCCTGTAACAGGAGGGATCCGGGAACAGCTGTTGTTAAGACATCCGGACCCCTCCTAGCGCCAGCCAGCTCCTGGTGCGGGCTCCGTCACAATATTTTTCCTCTCTTTAGGCGACGTCCGGCACACGCGGACGCCGCCCCCTCGCGGCTGGCCAAACTAATGCGGGTGGAGGGGAAACCCACCCCGTCCACCCGCGGCCACACTCAGGGCGGCATGAGGCGGTGATAGGCGGGCCTCAGCCGCCCGGTTCGCCGGCGGCGGATCGGGTCCGAGTGGAGGTCGTCCTCCCGGGCCCTCTCCGCCGCCTCCTTCCGCAAGATTACTACCTCGCAGAAGGTTGCGACCGCGGTAAAACAACTGTCGCTACCGGCCATGGAGCGTACTACGGCCGGCAGCGAGAGATCCACTCCGATGACTGCGGTGAGGGCCCGGCGCTGCGCCGCCCATGCGGGGCAGACCGCCAGCGTGTGCTGGGCCGAGTCCTCACTGCAGTCGCAGTGGTGGCAAGCGGGACTCAGTTCCCTCCTAGCGACCGAGTGCAGGTACTTTCCGAAGCAACCGTGCCCGGAAAGCACCTGCGTCAGCCGGAAGGAAAGGGTCCCGTGCTGCCGCCCTGCCCACTCGGCGATGACCGGCTGGAGAGCCTCCACGGCGGCGAAGCCAGCGCGTGGAGTCTCCAGCCGGAACGACCAACGAGCCATCGTGGCTCGGCGAGCGGCTTCTCGCCACTCGCGCACATCCTCGGGCGGAGGGCGAAATCCGCTCTCCGCCCGGGAGTCAGCCACTCGCCGATAAACTTCGGCGAGCACTTCCGCCTCCAAATCCCACGGGGGAGTTCCGGCCAACGCGCATGCCACCTCCGTCGAAACGGTGCGGTAACCGCGTATGGCTCTGACCGCCATTACCCTCTGAGGGCGCCAGAGGCGTACCCTATTCTGGGCGGTCAGAGCCGCCGCCCACACCGGTGCACCGTACAGTGCCATTGACCGGACAACCCCCGTGTACAGCCGTCTTGTCGCGACGCTGGGTCCACCCATATTGGGCAAAAGTCGCCCTAGGGCAGACGCAGCGCCGACCAGCTTTGGAGCAAGCTGTCGGAAGTGCTCGTCGAAGAGCCACCTCCCGTCGAGGATCAGGCCCAGATAATTCATCTGGGCCCGAACCGGTACGAGGACCGAGTTGACCACGATTGAGGCGCCAGGGGGTTGGACCACGACGGGGCCCATGAAATAACAGGGCCTCCGTCTTATCTAGGGCCACCCGTAAGCCCAGCGCCTCAATGCGCCCGACCACCAGGGAGACTCCCCCTGTGGCCAGGCGCGCCGCCTCTTGGAAGTTTGCCCCCCGGGCTGTCACCAGGGTATCGTCTGCGTAACAGATTACACCCAGCCCGGGGGGGAAATCGGCGCGAAGGGCCCAGTCGTACCCTATGTTCCACAAGAGGGGTCCAAGAACAGACCCCTGTGGAACACCGCACGACATGGGCCGACACCTCAAATTACCTTCTCGGTCCTCGTACACGACGGTACGCTCCTCTAAATAGTCTGCCACTAGCCGCCTCAGGTACTTTGGCACCCCATGATAGTGGAGTGCTTCCCTGATACAGCTGAATGGCAGACTATTGAATGCGTTGGCGATGTCTCATGACACCGCCAACAGCACGCCGCCACAGCTCACGGCCTCTTCGGTCACGGCCCTCAGGCGCAACACGGCGTCGACTGTCGAACGCCCCGCCCGAAAACCAAATTGGGCGTCCGACAGATCGGGGCCCACCTCGCAGAGGTGCCGGACGATGCGGGCAAAACCCTATACCAACCCGTCTGGCCAGTGTGGTATAGTAGGCCAAAACCTCCTTTTTAAGGAGAGGCCTATGTCCAGCAGTGGACTAGTAAACTCTGGTCTAGCTGATAAAGATAAATGGCGACGAGGATGGTATTTTAATTAATGATAATATTACATGATTGTTTACAATTGTCTTGAGATGGAACTTTTTGAAAAATGCTCTGTAAAATAGTTGAATTCATGTCAGTCCATTCGCTGGCGCAAATAAACTATATAAATATTACAAAAGTGGAAAATTTCATTGACTTTCTTTTACATAATGAAACAGTGGCAACAAACTAAATGTATTCAAATTTAATGTAGTCAGTGGTACCATCAAACTCTTTAAATAATTAATTCTCCAGCAGGGCAACATTGAATACACGTGTCCCGCCTCAAATGAGTGCGAGATAAACAAACGGCGCCGGAAGGCGTGCCAAGCTTGTCGTTTCCGCAAGTGTCTGCGTACGGGGATGCTGCGTGAAGGCGTCAGGCTGGATAGAGTTAGAGGTGGACGACAAAAGTACAGAAGGGCGCCTGATGCTCCCGCCGTTGCACAGCCCAGGCCACAACTTGATGATATCAAGGTACGTATAGTTTAAAGCAACTGGTGTCATATATTTTCTCCTTGTTTGGTGGGAACATTATTGTGTGGTGACGGATTTAGAATACAGAGTGTCACCACTGCTATTCATCCCGAGGGGGTCGTAAGAGCCGACTAAGGGAACAATCTAAGCAGGACAACAGCACTGCAAAGGAAGGAAGACTTGACTATGTCCAGTAGTGGACTGTTTGAGGCTATTGATGGTTATGATGATGGTTTGTACCCAAAGAAGTGTCGATGCGTATTCCTGGGTTTATTGAATCCACAATATGGTTCCATGGGATCACATCCATACCCCTACTTCCTATTTTAGTATTATTCATTCACCAGACTATTCTATACCCGATCTTACAGATGTATTAGTAATACACGTAGTGAGTAAAACAATGCGTATGATATTAGGTCTTTACCTATGAAATTGCCGTTTTGTATGCAATAAGTGAAAGTACTTATTTTTTCAAACTTTTTTATTTCTGTTATTCGAAGTAATCACCAATGCAATCGACGCATCTTTGCCAACGCATTGGCAGTTTATTGATGCCCTTCTTGTAAAAATCACCTGGACGGGAGGCAACAAACTCTTCAAAGGCATTTTGTACTGCCTCTCGGGAATTGAATTTTTTACCCACTAAAAAGTTGTCTAAATTTTGGAAAAAGTAATAGTCGGTAGGTGCTAGGTCTGGTGGTCACATCTGCAACCAGCTTTGGTCAAATGCTTGAATTGCCTTCGCCTAAATAACCTAACTAAAATTGAATAATTCATAATTTATTTACTTGCTGATCAAAGGTGTACAACGGTTGACATTTGTTTTTTGGCCTGGTGGAATACACCTGTGGCATACACCTGTTTTTTGGCCTGGTGGAATACACCTCTAAAGATATCAGGAGATATCTTTAGAGGTGTATTCTCGAAGCTCCTAAAAATGATCCAATAAAGCTTATTCATTTATTAAAAATATATAGATATATATAAAAATGATTATTATCTCTTTATACTGATTTACGTCACGCTTCTTCTTCTTACTTCTTATAAGAAATTATGAACTAAACTGAAAATATCATTCTCTTCTAGGTGCTAGAAGCCCTCAACTCGTATGAACCAGATCTTTTCACATGCTCGGCCCCCCCGCCGGGGGTTCTCGAGCCGACTGCCAAGACCCTGGCGCTACTTGCAGACCTGTACGACAGGGAGCTGGTCGGCGTCATTGGTTGGGCCAAACAGATACCTGGTTTCACAGAGCTGCAGTTGAATGATCAGGTAAGTTGGTATTTTAAGTGTTTTAGCATAAAATACTCGTATATTCAGAAAAATACTACTTCTTATAAATTTTATAAAATTAATTCAAAGTTGAATAAACACAAAAAACATAATATTTTATTAACTGATATTTATGACTGAATTTTTTACTGACATTTGTATACATTTTTTTTCCTAAAACTACTCAATAGCTATAATGTATACAAAAAATAGGTTGACAAACAGATAAGAAACAGTTATTGAAATTTAAAAATGGAACACATTGTGTTTGCGGCAGGACTTCATAATTCAAAAGTTATAATCTTTTAAATCTTTAGTGTAAGTTAATAAGATTTCCAAAGTTCCATATTTAAACATAAGCGTTTATGTATATTATAATTCGAATATAAAAACAGCATAAAGAATAGGTCGACTAAAAAAGTATTTTACATAGAACACAATATTTCTCAAGGTAATCAACCAGTACAACCGTTATATTTTATTGACTGCCAGCGGTACATTTTATAATCACTAATGCTAGATCAATAAAAAAAAATAAACATTAGTCTATGGACACTGAGCTAATAATTACGTATTCGTGTTTATGTAATCGTTTTTTTTTGGCGGCAATGTCGGTATGTGAATGATGTGTAATGAGGGATTGTCTCATAGGCCTTGTAGCATATGTTGTCGCTTCTATTGTTCAGGTCAGTTACAACACCGTATCTGGACAACGTGTCCAAATAATACAATACTTGCAAATACCCCCCTTTACTCGTCCTTTCCCCTCGTGCCAAAAACACGTAAGTAATGTAACTCTATTAATATATACATCTATACAATCTATACAAATAAATTAAATTGAAGTGTCCGTTTGTAATGTCAAAATAATGGGGTTTTTTATGCTCACACGGTTATTTGCACGATACCTATGCCTAAAAACCAGTTTAAATATATTTTTTCTGTCTGTCTGTTTGTCTATCTGTCTGTTTGTCTATCTGTCTGTTTGTTCCGGGTAATCTTCAAAACGGCTTGACCTATTTTGATAATATTTTACTACTAGGTAGCTGTCTATATAAGGAGTAACTTACAATTTATTCTATCAGAAAACCCCTATAAAATTTATAATATACATAGATATATAGATAGATAGAACTCAAACTTTAACACAATATACAAATCGCTTCAAAGATTGTTTGTACCTATTTTTCGCGTTACTTTTGTTCCTCATTCCACATCAATGAAACCACAATGTGCACAGGATAGCATGGCAGGGTATACTAGTCATGTAATATATACTTGTAAATCTTTTTCAAAGTACTAAAAAGAAAAAGAATGTATACCTGTACACAAGAATACCCACTGATCCATATCAAATCAAGTAACATCTCGTTACATCTAAATACATCAAGTAACAAGTAAATACTCTATGCTAACACGTCCGTCTAGCTCTGATGTCGCCGTAAAAGAGAGCTTCGCACGGCATGCCTTCTCTCACTCTTAACGGAAAGTGACGTCACTACTAGGCCACGCCCCTTAAAATAAGTATTTCCGATGATTTCCGCTTATTATATTTAATTAGTTCGACATGACGTTTAATTCAAAAGGGAAGACTCATCGTCGCAACAACTTAAACTCAAACTCAAAATATGTTTATTTCATTAAAAAGCATATATTGAAATTGCAACACACAACAGCAACAATTTGTTTTGTCAAATATTTAGCAAAATGAAGTTAAATCTATTATATGATTGTGCCGATCTACAACCGCCAGTTTCCACGGGGTTTATTTATTTATACTACTTGCAAATACATTGGCATAAGGCTGACTTAATGCCATAGGCATTTTCTTCCAGTCAACCTTGAGGTTTTGCAGAGATTTGTGTGTGGCAGGTGTACTCGTATAATGAGAGTTTAGCCTTATGAGAAGGGCAAACAAACTTAGAGTATTTAGATGATGAAAAATAAAGATTCACTTTAAAACAACTTCACGAACCTCATCATAATTAATTGTTATAAACGGTATTCTTCATTCTTTAATTTTCAACCCTTAAGAGTATTTTTTCATCGACTTAAAAAAAATTAGGTTAACCTACTTTCTAAGGAAATCCTTATGTCCAGCAGTGGACCAGTAAAGGGTTTATTTCGAAATGGTTCCATTTAAATTTCATATAGATCTAATGCTGAGTTTCTGAGACAGAGAATGGACCTCTTCAAGAAATGACAGCAAATCAAACGCAACTTTTTTTTAAAAGGATTTACGTTCAACTTTGAATGATACTGAACGGGAAGTATTCCTTTCCAAATAAAGACTTTACCTTATCCGTTCATGAATGACGAAGTTCTGAGGTAACATACATAAACACCGAATTTATTACACTACACATTTATTTAAAGTCTGTTAAAAGTATATATATATCTGCAAAATTACGTACTTAAACTTACGTAAATAATACTACGTCTCCTGTCTATGGTCGTTTCGTTTTTTATTCTATTCTAAATTCAAAAACGTATTTAAAAACAAAAGCTACCGCCACTATTTGAGGAATTAAATTTCATTCACCAAAACATTTTAATGCATACAATTAAGCCATTTTGGACTGCCTCAACGAGGACGCGGTTCTCAGCGTATGCTATATGACTAGACTACATTTTATACTTATGTGTGTTCCTCTCAAGGTTTCATTTAAACGTTCGCGTCAATGCATATGGATGCGGTATATTTTTATTTCAATTTGATTTATCATATTGTCGGGCCGCTGACAAAACTTGTCTTATCTGATTTTTTAACAGTTCTTAGTTGTCAAAACTTGCCAAGGTTAGTGTTTGAATACAACAATAATTGTTCTCAGATCCGGCCAATTCGAAGTAGGAATACGTAAATATACGCATGAGGAGTGTGATTCCGATGGCATTTTCAATCTAAACGCTTTTTAACAAGCCTACTGCCATTAATAACCTACTTAAAAAATTAGGAGGTTTCCATTAGACTTTTGGTGTGTATTTTAAGCGATGTTTTCGCCATTTGTAAAAATGCATTAAAATAATTAGTTTTTTAATCTGTGGAACACGTTTCACCTTTGTCTTCGATATCTTTTTTTTTTATTAATATCAGCAAAGCTCCTTCTGTCGATACAAAGCCCTCATTCAAACAGCATTTTATAATACAAATGATTATGTTCTTTGAGACATTATACAGCGCTATCTAGACCCAGTCTAAGCATAGCTTGTTACTATGGGCGTGTAGCGTGTATTATTTGTTTTTTTTTATATAGCAACACCAAAGCAAGCGATTCGTGACCTTCGACGTGACAGTCGAACTCTTTACCATTATTAAATAGGTCTGAGCTTATAATCCATTGTGGAAATTTTTTATATATAATATAATAATCGACTTTTTTTCAACTATGCTAACAAAGAAAAACTTTTTCTTTTAATTTTGCTAAGCTGCATTTTATTATTGATTGAAATTGCTATAATCAAATAAATCATTTTCAACCTTAGACAGCACTTTACACGCCATTTTCAAAATTGTTTACGCACATGTATAAATGTGTTACGTATTTACAAGTGTAAATATGGATAAAACATCTGTAAGTATATATTTTTATAATAGTTGATAAATACGTTTAGGTAATTATCTATACGATTACTGATACCTAAATTTATGCAGACGTTATTACTTCATTGTCTAAACCAGAATATTCAAATTGATATGAATCTGTCTAAGTAGTCGGTATGAATACGTAAATAAAAAAAAATGGGATGAAATGAATATAAAATTAAAAAAAAAACGATTTTTAAAAGCCTGTAACGTTACATTTAGGATTTAATAGCGTTTTTAGCCACCAGTATACCGGTGCAGAACTTTTATAAATATATATTTATTTATATAGTTACAATTATTAGGAACTTGGGTACTCAAACTAAAATATTAAACTTGAAAAAGTATATAATCTAAATGTGAAAACATCAAGATGAAATGTAATAAATTTTATTCTCCTTTCCTTATTTTCCCCATTAGGGTTAAATTTTTTCTTTTAATTTCAATGATACCATCCCTCTTAAATAAAAAAGAATTTTCCTAATAAGTTTTAAAATGATAGACATCTGAGGTTAATAAACATAAAAAAAATAACCGACTGTCAACCTCCTTTTTTGAAAAGTTGCTTTAAAATATTCTATCCTCTATTTTGTTCTGCAATATTTCGCCTAAGAGCGTTCGGCCGTCCAGACGTACAAATAGATTTAAAAATCTAAAAGAATTATGCAACTCCGTGTGCCGAAATATCCCCGATCAAGGACACCCAGTCAAAAAACCGACTGAACCATCGCCCACAATGATGCACCAATATAACGAGGAGTTACATAAAAAATGTATACGGAATGTATCTTAATTCTTAACTAATGGAATAAACTAGCTTTTGCTTTCGTCTTTGCTCGGGAAAAATATATTTTTTCGTCCCTCTGGAACAAAACTTTATTCCTGGGTGAAACGAAGTCTGATCACTGATTTGTACAGAAAATATCAGTAGTACAGAATAGAAAAAGATAAGAAAGAAGGCAACTATTTGAGAAGCACTCCATATACATTATTTGAAATTTATTACAGTGTTACAATTATTTATTTTAAAAGAGACGCCTGAATTTATTACAGATGCGTCTGTTACAAAGCACATGGGCGGAGATGCTGAGCCTGATGCTGGCCTACAGGTCAATGTCTGGAGCAACAGGCAGTCCCCTACGTCTGCGGTTCGCTACGGATCTCGCGTTAGACGAACAGCAGGCCCGGGAGATTGGAGCACAGGATTTATTCACACAGGTTTGTAGAATTAACGTATTTCATTAAATAATTTATGTAAACATTTTTTACAATAATCAAGTCATTAATAACTCTGGAATATTTAGAGTGGAAGTCCTGTTTTCTGTTTTAAATGTCGAAACCAACTGACCTTGTCCTATTGTAATGTAAGGTTTTCTTTTTGGAAGTGTTATTATTTTTGTAATGTCATAAAAATACATTTAAATTAAGTCGATAAGAAAATAGCAGTAACATTGATCACAACATAAATACAGTAATATCTAGAAATCTGTTGTAGCGCCATCTACCGAGTCTAATCTAGAATCTGTATCATCTAGAATTCTAGTCTAGACACTCACACACTTGAAATAAATAAATGCGTCAAAATCAAAATTCAGGGATTTACTCCACTTCAAAAGAAAGAGAACTAATTGTGTTTTTTTTACTTATAACGAACGGAAAATACGTTTTTGGTTTTCATTTCAAACAGTCATCTAAACAACAACACATGAATAAGGCACTTTAGATCGGTATTTAGTAACAGGTGGCGCTGCTCGAGTACTTTCTTGTCATTACCGTCACTTGGGTTTTGTGGCCTTGTAATGAATGGATTAGAACATCTAAAGCACATCATTCACAAACTATTCTGGGCAAGAGACCTCTTTTCTAAAATGAACTGATACCTCAGACCCCCCATAGCCAAATTACTGCACGGTTATTGACTTGAGTTTTTTAAAAGAGAAACAATAAAACTTTCTAATAATACAGTATGTTGAAAGTTTCAAATAAAACTTCTGTTAATGAATTGAGGTCGATTTTTAGAAATCAGTTTTCGTTTAAGTCGACTCTTGGAAAATAGATTTCTACCACTTTGGGGATGTCTGGTTTAAAGCGTAGATCGGGACCGTATGGGACAAAGTCACAATGAATTTTGATTTAGCATTCGATTTTTGCGTTCGTAGGTTTGAGTTGTTAGATTAGACGTAATTTAACAGTAATTCTATTATTTTTATAATTATTATGTAGGGAATGTTAGCTGTACATATATAATAAAATAATTACTAGATTTACTGTCAACTGTCTGAAAACAGCTTATTGGCAACAAGGCGTGAGTAAGTAGTAACCCTAACCTACGTACGAAAAAAACGAATGATAAATCACTGGTCTTTCACAGTTCACTGTGATTTTGTCCCATACTTAGTACTGCCGTGCCAATCGAATACACTGTAATTTTCGAAAACGATTTGTGACTTTGAAAGCTTTGTTATAGTTTTTTACCATGTTAAAACACTAATTTCAATACAATACAGTATTTTTAGATTAATGTCTCTTCTAAAATACACTTGAAAATAACAAAAGTGTCGATCGGAGGTACTAAACCGACGTAAAGAAATCGATCGAGCGTTGTTGAGGCAAAGGCAGGTCTTTTGTATCGGCACGGCAGAGTAGCGCATTTAGCGTGGAGGTCTAAGCGTGTGCGTGCGGCAGGTGGCGGGCGTGGCGCGGCGCCTGGAGCGCGCGGCGGCTCTGCGCGAGGAGTGCTACCTGCTCAAGGCGCTGGCGCTCGCCAACTCCGAGGCGCGCATCGACGAGCACGCCGCGCTGCGCCGCTTCCGCGACTCCATCCTCGCCGCGCTCAACGACGCCGTGGCCGCGCTCAGGTAACTCTTCGAGCGCCTACTCGTTCGATGTGAAATAAACTTGCACTCCGCCCTCAGTATCATATCTTTTCGACTGTACGGATGGCGTAGCGGTTTAAGCGGTCACCTCGCCGCTTCCTTCTGCGTGTTGTGGGTTCGATCCCCACATAGGAAATCACTTTGTGTAATCCACAAATTGTTGTTCTGAGTCTTCTTTCATGTATGTTTGTAAATCCTCTGCGACACAGGATATATTCGTAACACAGAAGTTGTCTTTTTAACAAAATAAAAACGAATTTTGTCTAAATTTTATGACTAATTCCTCCAACATAGGAGTGCTCCAGGGTTTGATTATTTACATTGTTTATTAACCAAATTTTTAGTAAACGATCTATTCGTTTTGTTAAATCTGTTCTTATTTGGAATAAATTGAGAGAATACATTAATCCTTCCTCCGAGCCTACTCCGATACCTACAAGTTTACTACGTTACTAATAAACTTCGATCGTTTACGTGGAGCGACACCATCGGGCCTCCACCACTCAAGTACTATGTGAAATCGAGTAAGACTGTTGTTAGACATTTTAGGATTCCACCTACCCGTGCTGATTGCTCTCTGAGGCACGGAAGGGTCTCAATGTTACATAACTTTGCAACGTTTGAAAGCCTACACGAATACGTAAGTAATATGTCCACACGCGTCCCGCAGGCCATACAACGCCATGGCGGCCCTGCAGCAGCTGCTGCTGGTGCTGCCGGCGCTGCGGCACGCGGACGTGGCGGTGCGGCGCTTCTGGGCCGGCGTGCACCGCGACCGGCGCGCGCCCATGAACAAGCTGTTCGTGGAGATGCTGGAGGCGTGTCTGCGGTAGGTGAGCTGCCGCGGCCTGCTCGGTGGGACTCGACTGGTGCAGAGTACGATCGGGTACACGTTGCGGTGGACCTGAGCCGCGTCGGTCGGCAGGCGAGCGACCGAGGCCGCGAGGCGCAGCCGCCGTTCGGGAATATCGTTCTTCTGTCTTTTTTGTTTCTTCACCCTGCGGCGGGCGACCCCGCGCCCTGATGTACAAAACGATGGACGGATCTAGTACAAACTCGTTACTATTTTTGTATAATATAATAAAAATATATCTAGTTTTACTGTCGTGATGTCGAGATTATTGTACGGTCGAGGAAATGATCCTTTAGGACGGTTGCCGTGTACCGTGTAGTGTTTAGTGACCTGAAGTTGTAAAATCTGTTAAACAGAATTTAAATTTTAATACGTGTAGCTTTAAAAGCTTTTTTAAATCAAAAACTGTGGAACCGAGCGGCTATCTTCGAAACTCTTGAGTATTGTGTTACGAGGTCCTGTTTCCCCGACCGTATGTCATACTTGTCTGTATAATTGTCTCGATAAATGCGGGGCCGTATTCGGCGCATTTATCATTAAAGTAAAAACATTATCGTTATTCTGTTTATTATAAAACATTGCGTTGCTGCATTGCGTTGAAAGCGTGGCGCTAGTGGACCTGATAGTAAACATGATTTAATGAAGTACAAATATTGTAAATTACTTGTTATTATTGTGAATACTTTTCAGATGTTATGGATAGTTGTTAATTTTGTTATTAAAAATTATATAATTCTTTATTCTACGTTATATAAACGAACGTATGTACGAAACTTAACGAGTTATGCGAAGATAGTTTTTTTTTAAGCTGGTCCTATTATAGTTCTCTTTATTTCAGCGTTTATAATTTTTTTTTTTGTTATACTTGTGTATAAATGATTTCTCTAATTTTAATCTGAATTAATTCGTTGCGAGTTTTAAGACTCGTCTACTACCCTGGACCTTGCTTAGTGTCATCTGTTCTACATCCAAGTATATACTAGGATCACACAAACAATGCGGCATCATAGGCTATCATCATGAAACTATAAATATGTGAAATGCTAATCTGAGTAAAGAATTGTCACCTGCGTTATTTCCGGACCGACACGACCTTAAGACTTTGAAAAAAAGTGGGGACTCCTTGTCACTTGGGACTCCTCCTATTACAGGTGTCACTGGGATTTGGGAGGGGGTGACATCGTTACTCGTTTGTCCGTTATACCTATTGAAAAGGAATGTATTATTGTTATGCCGAAGGCCTATCAAAGTAATTTAAAATCTTTTGAAAATGAAAATTTATCTATATGCAAATTCTATCTAATATGCAAATCGTAATACCTTTTTTAAACATGGTATGGTCACTTTCCATCAGGTGACCCGTCTACTCGTCTGCCCCCTCTAACATAAATAAAAACAAACCAAAAATTCGATACAATCTACGCAAACGTAAGTTGATTGTCTCATGTTCTGTTAACGGGCCGTGACCAGCTTAAAAACTATCTCCGTTCAATCGAACAATCATTTCCAACGCAATGCACCAATGCAGACATACTTTGTTGTACAACTGTTTTACAAAATGATCATTTAACAAAATAGAACATTATTTTTTAAAAAGAATGCAAATTATGTAACAATATTTACTACGAGAAAGATATAATGTATTTTCTAGGCTGTTCCACTAATAAATATATTTTAATTGAACATATAGATGGTTGTAATACTTATCAAAGTAACTCACACAGTGTACAATACCCGGGCTTTGTATGCAAGGAAGTACTTAGCTTGATCGTTGATAACAATTGACAGGAGTCCAGACTCACCAGACATTTAAAAAAGGCTTTTCCTTCCTTCTTTGCTTGCTTGCTTTTTTCTTATCAACTTAAAAATATATTTATGGTTTACAGTGGTCCAAGTGCGAGAGTATTTCACATTTATCCGATCTTCACGGTGACCGCGTTCGACGCTGTGATTGGTCTAGATTTCGTAGGCCCAAGTGCGGGTTTATTTCACATCAACCCGCTCTCGACAGTTAGCGCGTTTGGCGTTGTGATTGGTGCAGATTTCAGTGCGGGCCAATCGCAGCGCCGAACTATATCAAAGTGACGATCGAGTAGATGTGAAATAAACTCACACTTGGGCCTCTGTGTGGGCCAATCGCAACCCGAACGCGCTCACCGTGACGATCGGATAAATGAGAAATACTCTCGCACTTGGGCCACTGTAAGCCATCATAAATATTGTATAGATAGTTCAACTCAGTTGTGCGCGCGGCCCTATCTGTGCGTGGGCTTGTAAATATACAACTTTCATTTGTGTGGCAGTGACGCGGCAGTCGTCGTCCGAGCAGCACACGAATGAAAGTTGTATATTTACAAGCCCACGCACACATAGGGCCGCGCGCACAACTGAGTTGAACTATCTAAATGTATGTATGTATTCTTAAGTTGATAAGAAAAAAGCAATGTGGACTAAGTTATCAGAACTGCCTTTTCCATGAACTCACGGAATATAACCCTCAATATCTTTAAGTACAGGAATACTCTACTACAAGTCTAGTTTATCTCAGAAACGCGGTCTGTAAACACGTGCAAGTGTGGACGCACGCGTATACACCAGTTAACTCCTTGACACTTTGCCCGGGTATTATAACTTGAGGGTAGTTGTGTAAAATTAGATGAATGTATTTTTAAAAGCGATTATATTAATGTTTTACCCCCGATGTTACACCCGTACCCCTGATTATGCAGTTAAAAATATTTTCAACTAATTTATCGTTTTAGTGACGTTAAATATATTAGGGGTTGTTTCTGTAGTTCATAATACATACATCTTGAAACAGTCACGTAATGTAACGTTAAACGAAACAGATTAATCATAATTATTATTCCCTTAATTTGTTATTGGTATATAACGCGGTTATTATTTTTAATACATCATAGACACAGGTGCTCGCAATATCTGTACTTACATGTAGTCAAACAAAAGTCGTTTTTTTTTATTGAATCTAAAACTACCAGTCGGTTTTTTTTTTGCATTTGATAGCCTAATGCTAAAAGAATGTTATAAGCTATTTGACATCACGCTATTACTCTCAAGGGCAGGGCAGAGATCATAAGAGCTAGTACATTTACAGGTAGTAGAAAATATTTAGTTGTACAGAACTACAGAAACTCCTTTTAACATTATTTAGTCATCGTGAATGTACAAATCATCACAGTAATGTATTTATTGAAGTACCTCATTGTAATATTATTTTGTAAATAAGAAAGTGGAACAGTATTGATATCGAATACCTCAATAACTGTTACCAATTATACAAAATGGTGGATTTCGGTGTATCTCCTATGTATATAATAATCCTTATAGCCGTACAATTAACCTTTGCATCAAATGTACCTAGTTATTTGTAAACTATTAAAGTTTTCTTTTTCTTTGCTGAAATAAGTAAGTATGTAAAAATACTGTGTATTTTTTATGTTAAGTTTTTTTTTACATTTAAAGCAAAGGTACTTGTTTTAAGGAGTAGGCGCATACGCAGTTGTATGAATCTATTCGTCGATGGAAATCAACGAAATAAGTTGTATAAAAAAATATATAAATCTATACAAATTGCACCACTAAGAGGTTAATTTTGTAAAATTATAAATGTAAAATGAACGATAGTTTTACTGTTTACTATGGTTGTATGTTTTGAGGTGAAAAATGTGGTGTGTAAGGTGCATTTTTGTTGTGATTTTGCTCAAAGATGTCGGTTACTATCTCTTGTAGATATTGATATATAATTGTATCGGACGTCAGAGGATATATATATATATCGTTTTCACTCATTTGGTTATGAAATAAAACTGATGTCAAACTTATGTTCAGGTCGACATCTTTCGATCGAATTCAAGATCATTTTTGTGAGCACGAGAAAATCATTTAGTGTACAAATGTGTGATGACCCTTATCTACTGAAGTGACGTCACAGACGTTTGTTTTTTTTTTGTTTTGTAGCTTATTGTAGCTGTTACGTTTAAATACGTGTGAACAAGAAAGAGGTTGTGTCAAGGTGAATTACCAATATGGTAACTTTGATTAAGAGTAGACAACTTTCAATGTAATTTTTTAACAGAACCGAAGAATATTTAAATTTTTTGACAGTAATTTTGTGAGAAAATTTAAATATTTGAACAGTTTTGATATGTGTTTGAAAGTTGTAAGTGTTATGACTCGAGTTACACAGAATAAATCGTACGTATCTTAAATTCCTTGGGAGTTAATTCTGTTGTAGTTATTCTTATGTTAAGAATATTTACTTTATTTAATAGTTTTTAATGCGTAAGCGGTGGTAGTCGGCGAGAGCTGTGAAAGTGTGATTGTGCCAGATTATTTATTAAGTTTTCTAATAATTATTCATCGTTATTGATCTGCGATTACTGATGTTAACATTAAACGTTTTACATTGTAATTGTTGGTAGTGGATTGTGTGGAAAGTGATACAGGTGATATTGTGTAAATATTAATTACATAGGATTAGCCATACAAGCTAACGTCAGACTTCATAGTTGTGGGCATTTGCAGCAAGGTCTGTTGCCACAGCCGCTTTGTTTTCTGTTAATATTTTAGTCTAGAGGATCAAAGTTTACAGTTTTGTTTTAGCTGTAAACTGATATTTACTATCTTTGGTTCCATATTTGAAAACTAAAACTTTTCAGTTTTTAAAAGGCTTTTGTACACTTTATGTTGACTGTTTATGAAAGAACTGATTGAAATGAATTGTAGACAACTTCACAGTGTAGGTGAGGAATTAGTGATATGTAATCTCAGATCAAAAAAAAAAAATTAGTGACCCTTAGATAAAACAATATTATACCCGTGTCTTAAATTTTGTATTTAGCGAATTCGTACCTTATTTACTTTACATAATGTTATTAATGTGAACCGGTCCCGGATAAAAAATAACAAAATATAAAAGTGGTGACATTTTATTTTGCTTTTCATTTCATTTGTATGTGATTTCAAATACCCCCGCAGCGTCAACGTACATACATTTAGCGCCTTTCAATTATCATATTATTATTAATAATAATAATATTCTACCACATTCACACAACGCCATCTAGTCCCAAACTAAGCAGAGCTTGTACTGTGGGTACTAGACAACTGATATAAATACATATATACTTTTTTTTGTAAATACATTCATATTATACATAGAAACACCCAGAATAAATCAAATATTAAATGTTCATGCACACAAATGTTTGAATTAAGCGGGAATCGAACCGGTGACCTTTGGAATAGCAGTCGGTTACACAAACCACTACGCCATCCGGTCGTCAATTATCGAACTCAATCGTAACGGCGACCATGTTCAGCGTTGCGACTGGTGAAGAATTCAGTGCAGGCAGAAGTTGTACTTGTCAGCTAGTTTGAAATAGTGTTCAACCGAAACAGGTTTTTCAGCCGAAACCGAACTTTCGGTCCTTCTTTCAGTTTCGGCCCTTATTTCAGTTTCGATCAAAACCGAAACCCAAATTTTCATTAAAATATTCGATTGTTTACTGAAATTAAGTGTATTTTTTTAGATATTTACTTGCTTTTACCTACATAATACCTAAAATCACTGTAACAAGGTACCGCACGGTTTTAATTCTAAATCAGAGAAAATATATTTATATACGACAAAGAGTTAAAGAAACAATAATAATTTATAGGTAGGTACTTAAGTACCTAATAGAAATAAACCTGTTCAAATTAACTAGATAGGTACCTCACGCGATAGGCGCGAAAGAGGTTCGAGGTAAGGTAATTTGAACGGCCTATACGCATTTTCTCACAGTTAAAGTTAAGTCACACAACCACTCAAAAACTAATACTATATTAGTTTCTGAGTGGCTGAAAATGTTAAAAAAGTGGTACAGAATGTAATTCAAAATAATTACATAAGATAAGATTAAAAATAATTTACATACTCCAGAAATATTTAAGGTTAGTTTTCTCCTTGTGACCTGCTTGGTCACTAATTTTTTTACTTTTAATTTTTAACTTTTTTTTTTTACACTGTATTAGTTGTGTTACGTATATCAACTTGTTATAAGAATGACTATTATTTTAGTTGTACTTTTACTTTTAAAATGTCGAAAGCGTGGAGTAATTTTGCTTTGAGGGTCTGAGGTCATCGGTTCATTTTAGAAAAAGGGTCTCTTGCCCAAAACAGTTTGGAAATCCCTGGTTTAAACCATCGTATTGCTCTCTAACAAACCAAATGTCCAATAATCTGACAAACAATTAGTTTACATAAATTAAAAGTAACAGAGATTACTTTTTTAAAGATTTTTATTATAAACTTAAGTAATATTTACATGTGTACTTAGATATAAACAAAAAACAAGAGAAGGTGACATCACACAATAGCAAACTGTTCATAGAGAAGTTCCCTGACTTTGTAATACTCTTCCGATAATACTCCTTCCAGCGCGATACGGCCACTCTCCAACTGCAAAGGGACAACTATTTTAAATTCTGTGTAAAGAGGATCCATTGATTGTCTTTTTCCGTGTATTGTAAGCGACACCACCGAACTACACCACTGGGGTGTCGTTTACATATTTTTTTTTACACCACAGCAATGATGTTCTACCACAAAACTTATGATTAAATTATATTAATTATTTTTCATTCGCAAGATCACCATGACCATTGTAAAAATATTTTTTTAGAAGTTTCCAGAAGTTGCTTTAAAGAAAGCAGATGGAAGTGAAACAAAGATACAATGAAACAAATTAATAGTTATTGTATAATTATCGGATCAAGTTTTATAAATTAATTTGGTTGTTTTTTGTTGTTAATGGATACCATTATAAGGTTTTACAATTCCCTGTGAACTCGACCAAATATCATTCAAAATTAACACGTAACGAATAGGCTAGTTGACTCAATTTGAAAACTTGGTTAATTATATACTTTAATATCTATTTTGTCCCAAAAAACCTATATTTTAAAGAAAAAGCAATATTTACATTACGTATTTTGTATTTGAAAACAAAAACAATTTAAATTTCCCTGCGTCTGTCTGTGAAACAAAACTGTTTACATCTGTGTCCAGTATCAACTGAAACTATATTAAGGTGAGAAAATATGCTAAATACGAAAAACAATAAGGAGTAACCTGCTCAGTTGTATGAAAACGTCAACAACAACAATGATGTTTTGCGTGGCGTGACGTAACACTTTCTGATTGGTGTTCGCTGTCACGTGACTTAATGCCTATTTTGTTCAAATTTATTTTTTAATAATATTAATCATCTTTAATTTTTATGAGAAATAGACTGGTTTTTCTCATGTATGTCTCTTCATTTATAATTTAACCCTATAAACCAAGCTATTTGTTATAAATGGACACAAGCCCATTGATTTATTTCACGTTATATTATACATGACTAGTTAGCGGTGGTGTCGTTTACAATACATGTATTTTTCTTCTTTATAAAAATAAGTGGAGAGAATTATTTCTACATTTTTAGGCACTCACGGTGGATACTGAATGTTTACATAGTAAGGTGTAATAAATAAAAACAACTAAGACTTACCTAGATCAGTACATGTTTTGTCCAGTTATAGTATAGACAGTCTATACAATGACAGTTCTAATTAGATTGGAAATGAGCAACTCGATATAGGTATGTTACAATTAATAGATTTAGGAATTTAATTAGTTATGATTGAAATTTATATTACCTGTTATTTTTATTTCTTAAATTATTTTGTCATTGATATTAAAAGAACAGTATACTGTTTAGGTCAGATATGTAAGTATGTATGATAATTCGTTTCAGTAATAATAAGTTGACATATTTCACAAACGCTCAGTTTGAAATCAACTAGGCTGAGCCTGCGCTGTGGTGTCCTGGCTGCTGATAAAGATACTGATATATTTCTAAATACATACATATATATATATATATATATATATATATATTAGATAAATTACGCGCAAACACTGAATAAATGATTGTGCTCATTGCACAAATATTAGTCAGGGTCATTAACCACTAGTAGAATATATGGTGGTAAGGTGGTTACCCTCCGTATGGCGAGGGTTCCGTTGCAGCACTCGAGCGCTCCGCCGACGAACTCCGCGGCGAGCCCCGCCCGCGCCAGCGCCGCGCGCAGCTCGGACAGGCGCACCGAGTTGATGAACGACGCCGCGTGCCCCCCGCCGCCCCCCGCACCGCCCGCGCCGCCCGCCTCCAGGCACAGCCGCACCTCCGACTGCGCCTCTTCTGCACAATAAAATAAAATAAATATTTAAAAAAATAAATGTGTGATAAACATAAAAAAAAACATTTTAATTAAATTAGAACGCATTTGTATGCATTTTCCGTGTGGTGACGGATTAAGGTTACGGAGTGTCGCCACTCCTATTCATCCCGTGGGTGTCGTGAGAGCCGACTAAGGGAACTAACTACGTAGGACGGAGCATTGCAAAGAAAAGGAAAACTTGACACAAACCATATGCAAACCTGTCTGGTCAGCATGGTATAATAGGCCAAAAACATCCTTCCTAGGAGAGGCCTATGACCAGCAGTGGACTAATAATTTGAACAAACAGACGATTTAGAATAAAATACAGTTTATTATACACCGGTTTAGTACATGTTTAATACAACGACCATGTACAATCTACCTACCTGTAACATCTCACACTATGTTCTAATTTACCTCGTGTTCACAAATAAATGGTTCTGATTAAAAATGGCACTCGAAAAAGATGTAAATAAATATAATATATTTTTTATATACATTAGATATCTTCCGACTTCACTCTCCGGAAACGCGGAGTGACTGAGAAAAAGAGACGTAAGTGTTCCGTTCCCTGTCTGCCGTGATTTTACGATGTAGCATCCGTTAATGTGCAGATGAACCAGGTAAAGTGTAGATATCTACAACTAGCTCATTTAAGTAAAGTATGTATAGTAGAGAATAAGTAATGTGGCAAAAGCTCCTTCAAAAACACTCGAATAAAAAAAAAAAGACGTGTGGCACTCGGGGACTGCCGCGGTAAAGCTATTGCATAGCATTTTTTATCAACTTATGCAATTATATTTTTTTTTTTATTAATACAGTATTTTTTCCTTTTTTTTTTCTTTTGATATTAATTCAAGTTACACTTTTTGAGCGTGGTGACCGATAAGAAAACAATTTTTTTTCTTTTATTAAATAAATGAGAAGAGAAGATTTTTATTATCTTACAATACATGTAGGTTATTCAGGAATATTTATCATTGAAACTATAGATTTATGGTAACTGAAATTTGAGACTTGATATCTTCTAAATATCTGGAAAATACCGCGTCACAACCTTATGATGCCAATGCTACCTAGAGGCGAGTTGCTGAATTAAAGAGACAAGCGCAAGCGTGATATTTCAAAAAAGTCATTAAAAGTTCTGCTATTCATCGATAGATGGCAAAACTAAAATGTATCACCGCTGTGCCGGTCGGAGTGGCGGGTGTTAGGTTGTTTTCGTTACGGAATTTCTGGATTCGGTCTCTACGCTCAAGGCCCGTGATAGAAGCTATGCAATAGCTTAAAAAAAAAGTAAATTTACGCTTTAACGCCGTTTTAATCGAATCGCACACATTTCACACGATCATACCCGCTAAATTCGCGGAGTACCTAGTTAATGCGCATATTAACGTATTTCGTCTTTTAACGGTAACATAAACACTTAACCTTCATGATATGTTAATTCAAGTTTCCGTCCATAAGATTGGTATACTTATTTATTATATATTTAAAACTAGTAAGAATGGTAAACCCAGTTTCTGTACACCAATTACTCATTTGAGGAAACTATGTCCATGCAAATTTAAAAAGAAACATACCGGTAGTGGCATCTGACTCTCGCTGATGAGCCCTGGGAGTGACGACAGCTGAGAGCCACGCCAGTTCGGTGTCACCGGCCGAACGCCACGCCAGGCCAGACATCAAGCTGTCTGTCAGTTTCACCTATGAACAAAATAAGACAAAAACTAAAGAAATTTTAAGTTAAAAAATATAATACACTCCATGGCACCCTGTCAAGGCGTTTAGCTACGCCATGACGGTGGCAAAATAAAAAAAAATAGCCCATGACAGACTGGTATAAATTTATTATCACTTACGACAGTTTATTCTAAAACCCTAAAAGTATTTAAAGTACAGGTCATAAAAATATTCCCTAAAAATTATTGATGATTTTGATGTGTGCATTTGAAACCAAAATTTAATTTGATACATTTAAATTCAGTTTTTTTACAAATTTTTGATGTATTACATAATGTTTGATGTACATAATGATAGTCGTTAGGCTATGTGGGAAAGGTATAATTTAGTCCTAAATACACACCTGGTAAATATGTGACTCAGTGGTGGCGTCAATAACTTCGCCTGGTCCCGGTATGTAGATCTTCTCAATGCCTTCGGCTTCACAGTGCTTCCTGAAAACCAATACATTTAATTAATATTATTTTAAATATTTTTCCTTTTAATAGTATTGCAGAAATATATATTTAAGTAGTAGCTGCGGGCTCGATGAAGATGCGGGGGCGAATCTGTGCATCCTATCCTTAGTTATGAGAAGAATAATTTGGTATGGAAATTTGATACGTCAGTTTTATTATTATTTATATAATTATTAACAAATAAATAAAATACTTGTTTTACGTAGTTTCACCTGCTTTTAGGAGCTAAAACTTAAGTTCTAGAGGTTAGTGCGTATAATCAATCAAATAAAAAAAAATGTAGTATAGATGTTGGATCGCGGTTTGGTAAAATGTGTGTGTACGGGACAGAGGGAGCGGTATTAGGCCCGGTGTACGTACTTGAGCGTGTGCAGCGCGGCGGCGTTGGCGCGGAGCCCCACGAGGGCGCGCGGCTTGGCCTGCGCCAGGACGCGCAGCAGCGACTCGCCGTCGCAGCGCCCCTCCAGCTCGATGTACTGCACGTTCGCCTTCACCGTCACCTGCCGCATCGACGACACGCACTTGCTTGGGATTTCTGTCATCTCCTCTGTTAAATAAGTATTACAATACGATCAAATTATGTAACATTAAATTTCTGTATAATGTTAAATTAAAAACGGTTTTCAGATTCATCATTTATTAGTATGTATGTGAAGTGTAACTAAAATTTGTAAACCGTAAAATTCTAATAGGCACACAAAACATCACAGTTGTTTGCAAGAAACTTTTGGTATACATATTTCAAAGACTACGTGAAACGGAAAGACTAAATTATATATTCTGAATGACCGACGCGTCAGATGATTGACAGCTGTCACTTATTTAAAACTTTGTCGCCTTCTTCTGTTTGAGGTTCGACAAGTGAAAAGTGTGTGTAATTCAAATCTTTTCGTTATTAAGTGCTAACCTTATTTATTAAAAGTAATTACTGTATTTATTAAAAGTAATTGCTGTTCGTTAGTCTTATTAAAACTCGGGTTTGGCTGGACCGATTTGGCTAATTTTAGTCTTGAAATATTAGTGAAAGTCCAGGGAAAGTTTAAACGATGAGAAAATTTTGGAAAAAAAGCCATACTAAATTTTCCTACCAGTCTGTCTTAACATTTGATGTTCATCCCATGCGTCAGTAAAATAAACTCAGATCCCAAAGTTAATATTATTTATCGACCGCAGAAATCTTATTACTAAACACAAGTGCGATAAAGAAGGTATTTAATAAGGGTTTCGAATCGACAATACATATCCCCAAGATTCTGATTATCATGTATTTAGATGAATTAGGTGAAACAAAGTTCACCGGCGCATCTAGTAGTTATTAAATGAAGTTAAATTTGTTCCTTATTAGCAGCAAATTGTAAAATATTTTCGGTGGCCCCAGCGATTCATATTTTTCGAATTTATTTATTTATACATAAGTGTTACAATTCTAATATTACAACTTGGAATGGCCTGTGAGTTGGAGTTTCATATAAATTTCCAACCCCTATTTTGCATCCTTAGGGGTGGAATTTTGTGCAAAATTTCATGCTTCTAGAGAAAAAGGGTTTCAGGTTTGCGTTGAACAATCAGTGAGTGAATCAATCTGACAGTCAGTTCTGCCTTTATACATCATCAACAGCCTATAATAGTCCACTGCTGGACATAGACCTCTCCTTAGAAAGGAGGTTTTGGCCTACTATACCACGCTGGCCAGACGGGTTGGTATGGGGTTTGTGTCAAGTTTTCCTTCTCTTTGCAGTGCTGTTGTCCTGCATAGTCTGTTCCCTTAGTCGGCTCTTACGACACCCACGGGATGAATAGGGGTGGTGACATTCCATATTCTTAATCCGTCACCAATATCTGCCACAATATCACCAAAATCTTAATACCTACTTATATTAGAGTATAGGTCTATGTGTGTCATGGTAGTTACGTTTAATAGCACAAGTAGATAAGTATGGGCTCGATTGACAACAGCCACCCAAAAATCTGGTGTTCAGTAATTCTATTTGTTTTACACTGAATGAGTGAGATAACAGCAGTTCCTTTTTATCAGCTGCCTAGTCTGACCCGTTTTATTCCAAAAAAAATGACACCTTAACTGGCTACCAGGCACATATGTGTCTTAAAAAATGGTAAATATATTATGAGGAAAAGTCTTTTCCTAGATTAGACTAGAGATAAGTCCCTTACTGCAGAATGTCAATTTTACATTCTTACCGTCAGGTTCCTGCTTCGGTGGAGGTGCGGGTGGAACATCTCTGATTTCACCTTCTGCATCAACAATTTCAGCCAATCTGTAGTCTTCAGGCTGTAATGAAGAAAGAAGTTTCTTAATTCAACTGTATTTTTGAGTGTATTATTATAACCTCCACCATTTATGAAGTGATTTTAATCATTATTTCTTTTAATGGAATTGGTTGTTCTCACCATGTATTGTAAACGACACCACTGAACCACACCACTGGGGTGTCGTTTATAATTGACTAGGGTTTCGGTGAGGCTGACAGTCAGTAATGGTGTCTTTACAAAAAAAAGTTGTAAACAACACCCCAGTGGTCTCTTTGACAGTACACAGTTCTCATGGTGTTTTTTTCTTATGTAGGGGTGCAAACAAGCAGACAAGTCACCTGATGATAAGTGTCTATCATGGCCCATAAACACTTGCAGGTACAAACTCATACCTGTTTAGTTAAAAAACAGTATGGTTTGGATAATACATGTATATGAAGTATATATATATCATTATCAACAGCCTTTAATAGTCCACTGCTGGACATAGGCCTCTCCTTAGAAAGGAGGTTTTAGGCCTACTATACTACACTGGCCAAACGGGTTGGTATAGGGTTTGTTTCAAGTTTTCCTTCTCTTTGAAGTGCTGTTTTCCTGCGTAGTTTACTCCGTCGGCTCTTACGACACCCATGGAATGAATTGGGGGTCACCACCCCTATTCATCCGTATTCTTAATCCGTCACCACATAGTCCCACATTGTATGTATAAGTCATACAAATATCATACATTTCTACTTTATCATACAGTTTTTAGGCCGTTTTTTAACAGTTTAATAATCTTTAATATCATTAAGTTTAAGTGAATATGCTTGTTTTTGGCCTTTTAGTTACCTTGATAACCTCCCCATAGTCATCGGCCCTGGTTCTCTCCTCGTGGAAAGGGTACATGGCGTGGTGTCGCTTGTTGGACTTGAAACAACCCCCCGCTCTGACATCATGGCGCACCGGAATATCGTGCTTACCCGTCACCACCCACATCTCTAGCTCTCCATCAGAATCAGAGTCAGAAGATATGCCAGCAGTTTCTTCCCTTATAAATAAAACAAAAGTTTACAACAGATCAGAACAAAGCAAAACTTGAAAGGTTCAAAGGTGGATTAACTTTAGAAGAAGTAAAAGCCTCCTTCACAGTAATTCACAAAACTGTAGCAAGCGATGCTAAAAGAAACAAACAGAGCCTAAAAAGAAAGGAGTATTGTCTTGCTATTCTATACTGATTCGTCATTTTAAATAACTACAACAAAAATTTGCACATTCCAAAAAGATTGCACATTCTAGAACACTTCACGAAGTTCTGGAAGTTTCCAGAGGGATAACGAGTTAGTTGAGTTGACCATCAGACATATACTCGCGCTAATGGGGTGTGGATACATACTTATCCTGCGATACAGCTTACGTGAAAGTGAGAAGAGTAGCAAATAACAGCACGAGTTGTTGTTAATGGTGATTATTAATTGATATCATTTTGAATCAATTTCGTGTATAATAATTTTTTTTATATTTATTTATTTTTCTAATTAAGAACTACAATATTCTCAGACACTTACTTGATAGTATTGTTGATTTTAACCTTCTGCTGCTGCATGAATTCCTCAAGTTCAGCTCCCTCTAGTCTGACACGACGTCGAACCATTAGTTCTATTGTCCTGTCCCCGCCCTTTTCAATTAGATCGCGAGCTAAAGTGCCTGGAGATGTTCTGCAATAAATATCAGAAACTAGTCATTACTACTGATATTAGACTTACTGTTGGTGTTAGTATCTCTCGCATACACACTGTGGTAACTGCTATAGACCAAGATCATCAACAACATACAATTTGCTACTTTTATGTAAGCAGCGTAACAAGATAAACAATATCGAGGTCATTAGGCCACTTTATTCGTTTTATTCTCCTTTTCTATGTCAAGAGTACTACAAGTCCTTCTTTGCATTCCTGACAATGCGTGCGCAAAATTACATAATCACTGGATGATTGGTATAAAAGCATACATAAGAAAAAAATACTTTGATTTCTATTTTAGGAGACTACAATACTAGTTTTCATCTTCTGACTTGCCTCGTATTAAAGATTTTATTTTAATCTACAATACAGGCATATTTTCTTTACCTAACCTAACGGTATGTATGCAAAATCCTATGATGAGTAGTTACTGAGTCAAAGCATAACTAACATACATTCTCATTTGTATCTACAATATTATAGTCAGGATTTAATTTTTTTACTTCATCGTAATCCTGACAACCCACAAAAACACTGAGCATGACACATGATGCACTATGATAGCGAATTACATACCTTGCAGTAAGTACAATAGAGTTCTGCGGATTAGGAGCCCACAGCAGAAACAGATCTCTGGCAAATCCAGCTTCCAGGTCCGGAAAGGAGGCCAGCACGACCTTGGGCCCGGGCGTGCGGCTCACCTCCCCCACTGAGTGACACAGCTGCAGGTGGCGCAGGGCGAAGGGGTTGCTGCGGGCGCCTTCAAAGGCGCGGGTCAGTTTGTCACTCATCCATTCTATCTGTAAGAGATGACAGAAAATTTAAACTAAGCATGAATTCTGGATTATAAGAACATGATTATTAAAAAGTGAAAATAAAATAATAATAATAATAATGATCACATGTTCAAAGAAAGAATGGAAAGTGATGAAGGCCTAGTTAAGTTATCTTGAATGTATTAGTAGTTGAGGTCCTGTCCCTAATATAATGAAACAACAATAAATAAATCTCGTTGTCACTGTCTGCAGCAACATTTACAGCATAATATGTCAATAATCAACTTGTATAACTATGACCCTTAACAAATTGTTCCGCGAAACACACAACAGTATGAGAATGCTCTGGATACAATTCTCGAAAAGTCATACCACATAAAAGACGGGCGATATCTCTAAGTAATGGCTGAGCCATAAATAGCCACATACATACTAAAAATAAATGAAAAATAACTATTAACATACCTGTGACTTAGCAAACTCCACAACGTTGTAACTGACGTTAGACAGCAACAGCAGCGAGTAAGCCACAAGTCCTGAATCCTTGTTCCGCCACAACTGGTCCAACATATGTGCCAGTTCTAGTACTCGGCCGGCTGTATCTGTGCATACTAGTACACAACCTCCACCTCGTAGGGTTGTAAGTATAGTTGCTGAAAATAAATAATATTGTAAGTGTTTAAGACTGGTCCGTGTAGTGACGGATTAAGAATACAGAGTGTCACCACCCCTATTCATCCTGTAGGTGTCGTAAGAGCCAACTAATGGAGAATACTATGCAGAACAACAACACTGCAGAGAGAAGGAAAACTTGACACAAACCCTATACCAACCTGTCTGGCCAGCGTGGTACAGTAGGCCAAAACCTCCTTTCTAAGGAGAGGCTTATGTCCAGCAGTGGACTATTAAAGACTGTTGATGTAATGTGATGTGAAGACTGGTTCAGACAGTTGATGGGGCAAGACCGCAATAGAATGGCAGCAGGTTATAATGTCCTAATATTGAAAATACCACACAAAACCTATTACTGGGCTAGGGCTCGTCGCTGTATAATTGTATTTTTATTATGTCATTTTTTAAATCTATTTTTAGAAACCCAAAAAATACTTGTGGTTTTAAGTGCGTAAAGTGTTGGCACTGGTACTAAGCTAAGAAATAGAAACAGGTGGAAATTTATTATTTAGACATAGTAACATTAATTCGTTGTAAATTTGGACATACTCATTAATTTTTCATCTCGTAAGCGCCTCCTCTGCTGAACATAATCAGCATTCATTGCTCCCAACAGCATCAACGATGGCCTCATCAATCTCTCAATTTCACAGCCATTCAGATGTCTTTCTTTCTTATGGTTGAAATCAGGGGCATATACAATATCTTCCTCTCCAGGAGCTGCGATTCGCCACACAGTGCCACCTAACGAATGTCCAGCAGGAAGTGGTGTGATGCGGACACCTAAGCCTTTGCCTGAAGCAAAAAAATTTGTAGGTAAGAAATAAAAAGTACACTCAGTTGCTCATCCACTTGAAAGTCATTTTTCTTGTAACAAAGACTGATAATGCAATAATTGAATGAAAGACTGGAATGCTGGAGAGGCAGAGACTTTCAATAGCGTCGTGATTGATTAAGAATAAAGAGTGGCACCACCCCTATTCATCCCGTGGATGTCGTAAGAGCTAACTAAGGGAGCACGTTCTGCAGGACAATAGCACTGCAAAGAGAAGGAAAACTTGTAACAAAGCCTATACCAACCCGTCTGGCCAAACTCGTAAGGCTATATCCTTCTTTAGGCTAAGGCTAAGGAGAGGTCATGTCCAGCAGTGGCCTATGAAAACTTGTTGATGTGATGTGAAGTTACATATTCGTGGTGACAAAATGATATGATGTGCATTCTAAACTTAAAATTGGAAAATAACTGCTATTACGACATCCATACAAATATTTTAAATGCGAAAGTGTGTCTGTAACTCTTTTTCTGTCTGTTACCTCTTTACACTTAAACGGCTGAACTGATTTAGATGAAATTTGTGTAGAAATAAAACAAGTTCTGGGAAAGGATTTAGTAGTTTTTTGTAAATCATAGTTTAAGTGGGTGAAAATTGGGGTGGAAGTTTGTAATGGGGCATCAATAAACGCTGAACCGATTTAGATGAAATTTGGTATGGACATACTTTGGTTCTTGGGGAAAGACATAGGCTACTTTTTACCGTGATAACCGACATATATGAGGGTGGAGCCGCTAAAAGAAAGCTGGTTAAGAATATATAAACAAGCCCTAACTTGGCCTATGACTATTTTATTATTACTAAACCTCGACATTACCTTTCATGTCCATGCTCTGATTATACTTCAATTGTATTATTCTATCGAATGCAGCATCTACATCATCAAGCGTAAACAGATCAAACTCAGACACATTTCTGTGGGCTTGGTACAAGTCATACATAAACATCTGCCCCATTTTATATACTGGCAGTGTTGCATATATAGGACAGTTGAGGCCGAGCTTGCCTACAGCATATGGTAGTGCGCCGAGATGAAGAGGATCCGAATGGGATATGAGAACAGCATCAATTGTGTTTATATGCCTGGAAAATTGATACCAGTAAACATAAATGAAGGAAAAAACAAGTTAATATAATAAATCTCGTTTAATATTCTTTAAATATATCTTGGTTATATTTTGCTATGCTTTTATTACATAAATAAAAGCTAAAATTAGATTTAATAGTGTTTTTGATACCTGTTCATCAGCAACATAACCTTAAAAAACAGTACCTTTTTAATTCTCTTATAAAATCCATATCGAACTTTTCATCCCATCCGCAGTCTAATAGAAATTTAAATTCATCTATTTGCAGCACATAACATGGTGGAGACTCATTCCCAGCTCCCGATAAGCAGTGAAATTTAATTATTGAAGTCATTTTCAGCGATAGGATGTTTGTACCGGTCTAAAGCAAGCTTTTCATTACTGGGACTTAAGCATGATACATTTTTAGATAATTCTACTACCAAAATCCACCGTTCTGGTGTTAGAGTAATAACAGTCTCTTCAAGCGATCAGTTTCAATAATATAAAAGTTTTCCGAAGCGCTAATGTAAGCAAAACTTCAAAATTGTGTTTCTTGGCGATTGACGTTGACTGACAAGACAATACTTAACAATAATGACATTCAGTTACACGCGTTCAAAGTAGTCAAAATAAAAGGTTAGGTGGGTTACTTTAACTTAAAAAACAGTTGTCATTTATACGTATAAAAAAATTGTAATTGGGAATAATGAAGTCCAAAATGTATCAATTCTTCGTCAAGATCAGTGTTGCCGTTGAATAAAAATAAAAGTCGGTAGCTGGTTTTTAAAATTACTCTAGATTAGAAAAAACCGTTCACCTAAAATCTGCTAGAAGTTGCTAATCGGAAAATCGAAAATAAGTTAGCATTTAACCACCAATACATAGCTGCAGTCGTGCTGTTCAGGTACACTCAGGTATTGCTGAAGGCTTACAAATCTTTCCTGGTCCAGTGAATAATATCATTTGGTTATTTATTAAATCAATTTACTTATTACAAATAAAAATCAATTTACTTAATACAAATTACAAATAATTTTAGCTTTATGTTTTTTAGTTTCTAAACGCTTCTTCTAATCGCTCAGTTTTGCATACATTTATGAGTGGGAATAGCTACAAAATGCCGTTTCTTTTCTGTAATTTTGTATGTTTTTTTTTAACGGAGCTTCCATTATTTCAACTCGTACACTAAGAAATTATGATATCAACTTTCAACTATGCAAACAACAATGAAACTTTGATGGACGCAACAAAGTGGTTTTGTTTTTTCATTTCTTTCAAAGCAGTGTACCAACGAAATTGTCGACCCCTTACTCTTGTTAAGTGAAGGTAAGTGAGTTGTGAGCGGGAAAAGTAAATTAGAAATAATACATATTAAATTGATTTTTCTTCATACTTGAGAGGGTTAATTTTTAAATAATAATTAAGTAGATAATGTTAAATTTTGCAGTTACTTGAAGATATTTTTAAGTTATAGTTCAATTCTGTAGTACATTATTTTAGTCTATATATTTTTTCTGAGAGGGAGTGAGTGTAATCGCTGGCTAAGCGTTCGCAATGTCAGCACTCAAAAACATGTTTTTTACGATATCACATTACAAATCTTTGAAATTCTTGGTTTTTCTTTGCATATATTTGCTTACATGCATATATTATACATATAAGCATTCCTCTTCAATCACTCTCTCTATTGATGAAATCCGTATTAGGTAAAATCCATTGCGTAGTTTAAAGATCTAACCGTACAGGAACGAGAAGTAACTTGATTTTAAGAAGAAGAAGATGGATTGTCTTTTTTCTGCAACATTTTTTGACCTTACTGATTGATTAGATCGAGCATGAGCTCGTCGAACTGATAAGTCTCGAGTTGTCTTCGCACAACTTCGACCTATGACAGTTGGCAAATTATTAGGGTCCAAAATCCGTAAATCCGTATTCTCGCATGTGTGTGAAACGTGGAATTAACTAAAAGGATCTTGCAGCGACTCCAGGTACATAATACGAGTGCAAGCCCGAAAACATCTCCAATCAAAAACTGTTGGAAAGCTATAAGGAAACCCCGAAAGACCCCGAAATTCAGCTTTACTTTCGGGTTTGATCTGCTAGATCAAACCTGAAAGTGGAGCTGAATTTGCCATAGGTACTCTCCGAAGTGCTTACGGTCACATCTTCAAGCAGGCTCAGGAGAGGAATCCCTAGGAAAGGCGCAAGCGTGGTAATTTTTAATCTGTAGGAGTTTCAACCCCGCCACGTAAAAAAAAAACTGTGTACTTATGCGTCGACTACTGCGGTTTTGTGGAAAGTTGTAGAACTGCGTATGAACGCTGTAGACCACCCATGTTGGTCATTTTGTAATAACAATTTCATTTGTCTATTAATTTTCGTCACATTTTTTTTTATTGTCCTGGGAAATCTTTTTCCACCTGTATTGAACGCCAAACTCAATATTATTAGAATAATTCTAAATACTTGTCTGAAAATACCCCAAATAGTTTTGTCAAAATACGTGCTAAAATGGTAGTAGTGAGGATTGAGATTAATAAAATTGACGATAACTTAATTTATTTTCACTGTATAAACTAAACACTTTAAGAAATGCACAGCCGTATAAAATTACTAGATACAAAATGAATCCTCACAAATAAAATATTATAACATACATTTTAAAGAAATTTCTTCTGTCGCCGTGTGGAACAACTATCTCTCGGAATACGAGGGTTGTTTTGGTGAATAATATGTAAGGCTTATAATAAATTCAGTTCGTATCAGTTACGTAGTCATCTGGTTTATAATCTTCCCAAACTAGCTACGGCGATAACTTAAAAATATTTCCCAAAAACTTTTTAAGTTTCGGGTGTACTTGGTCTTTGAACTGTCACCTAAAGTGGGAGTTAACTTTTTCCGTGATTTCTTTTTCAATTTTGATGTTTGAGGATCAGCGTCAGATGTAGTGATTTTCACAACAACGTCTTTTGCAAGAGTAATATTCTTCATATTAGAACTCTTTGTGTCCAAGTTACTACTTGTCAAAGAAGAAGAATTTTCTGTTGCCTTTATATTTGCACTTTCGATGGTTACGTTTGTAACTTCATGTTCATTGTTATATTTAAAATCGTTTGTATTATGAAATAACGAGTATCCTACTTTTTGGGATACATCTAACATTACAAGCCCAATAGTCGTTGATGGATGGTTATCATCTTTTTTCAGCTCGTCTGGCGGTGCAATTTCTTGAGTATTCGTAGCTTTCACATTTGAGAAACTATTAATTAGGGAACTAATGCTTGTTTTCTGGGAAAGTGTTTCCACAGCCGCTTGTAATATTTCTGTTTTTAAAAAATCTGAATTTTTAATGGAAACTTTTTTTTCTTGTGGCAATATTTCTTTTGAGAGTAGTGGTGATTTGTTTATATTTTTTGATGTTTCTGGAGTTTGATTGTTGTAGTCAGTGCTAGCTTTTTCAATTATTACGTTCTCTGTTTTCTTTATTTCGCTGTCTATTCCAAACATGGGTTCTTCTATTTTATGTGATATTTCTGGCAACTCATATTTTATTGCTTCAGTAATATTAGTTTCCATCTCATTACTTTTTAAGCTACTGTTATCTATGATTTTTTGAATAATTTTATTCTCTGGTCTATCTAATATTTGAAAATTATTACTATTTGCTTCATTAATTTGTATTCCAATATTATTGATTGGGGATAAAACATTTTTATTAGTTATTTTTTCTTTGAATTGATGCGTTATTCCATCTGTTGATGCTGTTACCTCTGAATTTTGTACTATTTCGGAGATTGGAAACACTATGTTAGCCAAGATGTGTTTACTGGCGTTTTTGATACTATTATTTTTTGGCTCAATCGCTGTGTCAGAAGTTAAATCAGTAGGCTTTTCTTGCTTTATTCTTACTGTACATGGTAATGTATTTGCATTTTTTTCCACTACTTCTTTTAAGCCCCCCGCATTATTTGCTTTAGGAATCGATGCTACTTTTTGTGTTCTGTAATCTTGATGAATACTTTCATCTTTATTTGAAGTTAAAGATATTTGTTTTCTGGGTCTGGCCATTGCTGGTTTATTTTCTTCAGTTGGTACATTCCCTTTAGTTGCTAATGACTTCAAACCTAGTTCTTCGTATTGCGTTCCCTGATTAGTGTCTTGTCCCTGGGCTAGTCGAGCATATCTTTCTTCTATTCTTGCTTCTGCAAAGCACAAAATGGTCAGAATATGATTCAATGTAGTTTTAAAATTAACTTCTATAGGTTTACCCAGATGATACATTGTTTTTAGAAATTCAACTAATTATAATACTACTTTTAACTGACTTTCAAAAAGAATGTCCTATTCGCATGTATGTTTTTTGGTATCTACATGAAGTAACTAAAAACTATTAATCTAACTTACCATTAATCTTTTTCATGATGTAGTTTGTGAAAAGAAATCCCAAAAATGCTATTAAAGCAACCAAACAAATTTGCCACCACTCCAAATCCAAAAACTGCAAACAAATATTCATTTTAGGGCTCAATGTTGTAAGACATATTAGTTTTAGCTGAAGTGTCTTAAGATAAGCTACTGGTTCTGAATACTTGTACAAATAACAAGTATTCAGAACCAGTGATTTTCTCAGCGCGTGTGCCTTTGAGTTTACAATTGACATAAAGAGCACTTTGATAAATGTACCTTTCACAATTAAAGAAACAATACAATACACACCATATTTTCCAGCTACAATTTATAATTTATCAACACCATCCAATTTCAGACAAATCCTACAATTTCCTGGTTTATCAAGAATTCAGTCAACTTATTTGACAATTTGATTTTTAGTCTGCCATACGCTTGTTAAAACCTTCTTAATTTCTTTATTGATTATGTTGCCTTGAATACAGCGTAAAGTTGGATAATACGATGGCCTTATGTTTTCGGGATTTAACATAATCACGTCGTATCTTTAGGTAGAGGTTTAGCTAAGGTTATGTAATACGTAATTACGTGATAGCATTAATTCCTAAAATGATAATTGTTTATGAAACATAGCGATGGATAGTTTATAAGTTTGTATAAAATAACAGTAAAAAGGCTAATCTCAAAGAAGTTTAGTCTTGTTATTATTTCAGTTGCAGGGCCGTTTCTCTGTGATCATGAAATCATTTTCTCTACATTCATAGAATTATGTTATGTGTTTTTACTCAAATTTTATAAAATTATTGTGGCTAAAACCTCTTAGTGCGTACGTAATGATTCGCACTCGTTCAAAAGTTCTGAACAAACAAGTTTGTAAAGAAAGAAGTCTGTAGGTACATCTACATATATATATAGAAGTGTTTATATAGCAGTATAATTATTGAACTGAACTTTTTGAATTCTTGAAGCGTACACCAACCAAATTTATGTATACATTTTATATAGATTTACATATATACTATATATAGGAATATTTATTCACGATTTCATATAACTTGCAAGAGAAACGGAAAAACGTGCAAAGATTGTTATCATATAAAAATATGCGGGTTTTTTATTTAAGAATACATTATTTCTACCGAGATTTTTACTGATAAAACATTTCGTGTTAAAGTTATCGCCTATTTTAGTCGATTGCTCGCCTATAAACGATAATCAAGCATAAATTCCTTGTTAATCGCCTTAAAGGATCATCGTCGAAGCAAAAATATTTCTTAGATTTCTCGGCTTTTTTTCAAGGATTTGTTTTTTGTCAAGGAAATCATACAATAAATACAATAGGAACTGATTATGTCCGTAAGATTTATTTTAGATTATTATGAACAATTTTACCTTAAAATGAAATAAGAGGTTTACACATCACAGAAATTTTAATATTCATTTAGGTGAAATTGGCAAGAATTGTGGTATAACGAACGCATTTAGTGAAGTGGAGTGTGCTAAGAATCGTTAGCGAGCAAAAGCTTGTTCTTGAGTACTTAGTGGGTAGGAAACATACGGAGGTATGTATGGCGGCGGGCACGCTCGCCTAGTCTGGAATGACTGTGTAAATTGCCTTGATTTTTAACTTGAAGCTACCTATATATTTAGTGGAATCTCATGACAAACCGTGCTTCGACACAAATGGGTTGGCTCGACCGGAGTGCAATTGTGACTCTTGAGTTGCAGGTGTTCTTGGGCGGCGGTAGTTACTTACCATTAGTTGAGCCGTCTTCTCATTGCCCTCGATGCTATATAATAAAAGAACATTTGGCATAAGAGGACATTCTTTAGTAATTTTTCAAAGTTATCTCAAGAATAGAATGCAGTGTGTTAAGATAGGGTCATCTTTGAGTAATTTTATCCCCCTTAGTTACGGCGTTCCTCAAGGTTCCATTCTCGGCCCACCATTGTTTTTAATCTACATTAATGCACTTTGTAACCTTTCCATACCAAAATGTTCCATTTACACATACGCAGATGACACAGCTCTACTCATTCACGGTTCCAATTGGTCTGAGACATTCTCTGTGGCTGAGTCCGCTCTAGGAGAGGTGATGGAGTGGCTCTCATATAATCTTCTAACTCTCAACGTAAGTAAGACAATGTATCTCACTTTTACACCAACCTCTAGTACATTGCCTAACCCCGAAATCTATAAGCTGAGACCTCACAATTGTCAACACACCAAGGAAATGTCCTGTAACTGTCCCACTGTAAATCGACCCAATAGTGTCCGATACCTTGGCGTTCTCATTGACAACCATTTAAACTGGCATGTGCACATAAGTACCCTGACTTCCCGTGTCCGCAAGCTTATATGTCTATTCAAAAAACTCCGACACTCAGCTACACAGGTTACTTTTAAAATGATCTATTACTCACTCTGTCAGTCCATAGTGGCATATTGTACATCTGTTTGGGGAGGTGCCGCCAGGACGACTTTACTGCAGCTCGAACGGGCTCAAAGAGCCGTTTTAAAGGTCATGTTATGTAGACATTTTAGATATCCCACCACTCTGTTATACTCTGAATGCAATGTCCTCACTGTCCGTAAAATGTATGTGCTCCAAACAGTTTTACGTAAACATAACACTCTAAAATACGATCCAAAAAGACAGCACACACGCAGGTCTTATAAAATTTGTCCTGCAGTCACATGCAGAACTGCCCTTGCCAGGAGACACTTTCGTATTATCGCAGATCATCTTTACAACATCTTAAACAAGCATTGCCAGATTCATCACCTTGCGAAAGGACAATGCAAAGCCAAAGTAATGAACTGGTTACTTGAACAGGATTACGACACAACCGAGAAGTTAATGAGACTCAGTGCTATAAAATTAAATACACACACACACACATACACCCACACACACAAACACACACACAAACACACACACACACATACACACACACACAAAACAAGACACAGAAAGAGACACACGTACGCGCATACGCGTCTTATCATAAGTCTACAACTGTGAGAAGAACTGGTACCCATGACTCAAGTTAAGTCTTACAATGGGTGCCAGAGCTCGACTGCTTAAGTTTTCACTGATGCTGTTGTGATAATATGTATGTATGTAAGCATTGTACTTCTTTTCTATGTCAATAAAAAATATTATTATTATTATAACTACGTTTCTTATAGTCGGATATATAATGTTATTGATCGTATACCTTCAAACCCTATACCTAAAAATATACCGTATAATATAATGGTATAACCGTATTCCATCAATGAAAGAATCTCAATGTGATACGTAAGTATTTATTATGTGTGAAATTGAATTACAATGGATAGTATTATCTTGTACTTTCACTGGTCCCATAAAGGATCAGAGAGCGTAGTGCGAGTTAATTTCACATCTACTCGGTCGTCACGGTGACCGCGTTTGGCGTTACGATTGGCCCGCACTGAAATCTCCACCAATCGCAACGCTAAACGCGCTCACCGTCGAGAGCGAGTCGATGTGAAATAAACTTACACTCAGCCCTCAGTGCGGGCTAATCGTAACGCCAGAAAGACGCCTCGAGTAGAAGTGAAATAAACTCGCACTTGGCCCTCTGAAATCTTAACCAATCGCACCGCTGAACGCGCTCGCTATCGAGACCGAGTTCATGTGAAATAAACTTACACTTGACTCAGAGCAGCTTTTTAGGAGAGGGGATAAAACCGCCGAGAATATACCTCCATATGTTTTTACCTCCTCGAAACTCACGATATCAAGGTTATTACGTTACAAAGAGGTAACACACACCATAATAAAAGCCGTTTGCTACTGTTATACATAAGTTCGGTTCAGACTGCTAGTTGCAGACATTCAATTGATTAATACTTTCTTAAAAGATTAAACCAGCGCGAGCTTTAGACCATTGAGAGTATATTTTATGCATGATACGGAAAATATTAGTTCTGTTTATTGCGATATCTGGTACCACTCTAATCTAGATAGTCCACTATGCTGGTCTGGTGCTTGTAGGTTACAACATGCATAAATTTGGGACTAATTTCATTGTTAGTAAATACTACTAATAATAGGTTTATAACGAAGTTTTCCTTCCCATTAAAGCAAATAATACATACTAGTTATGATCTATATCTATAAAAGAAGAAATTCAATGACTAATCGATGGACGCACAGCTGAAAACGTTGGGTCTAGTAGTATACGGTATCAGGGATTTCCTTCCTAGGGTACACCTGGTTCCCCGTCAACTGGTACCCGAGACGGCGTCCGGTTTTTGGTCGGTTCGAGTCCGACATAACCACCGGTAGTTGGTATCTGAGGGGAGTTCCGCACAATTAAAAAAAAAAGGGTCTAGAAGCATACGTTTCCTACCTAAGGAACAAAATTTGCACAAATGGCACGTAGGTGTGCATTAAGAAAGGATTTTTTTAAATTTCTGTTCCAAATTTAAAAGAACGTTAAAATACGGAATGAACAGAGGCTACTATTTATTCCGGCAAAAATTATTGACGAAATTGGCATTTACGCGAGCCAAGCAGTGGGCAAAAGCTAGTCTGTCTATTTAAATAACTTGCCCTACCTGATTGGTGTCAACGCCAAGCCTAAACCGCTGAGCCTACAAAATTGAAATTTTGGCAGCTGATGCTTACCTACATGGTAAGCACCTACGTAGAAAGGATTTTTAGCAACTTAACCCCTCAGGGGGTAAAGTAAGCGGCGGAGCGGGACCGGGAGAGGTTTAGGACTCCGCACCACGCAGTACCGCAGGCGACTCAGGTGCCGGAGGTCGCAGAACAACCTCCGTCCTCCATAAGCGCAGGCCTGGGGGTGACAGGTGAGGCCATCTGTCACCCTAGCAGAAGCAGGCCGGGGTGGCGGAGAGCGCGTTGCAAAGCGCGCTCGCTTCCAGGGAGCAGAGGGAACATGGGGTTCCCACACGGGGGGAGGTCGTCTACCTGTTGTTGTAGATGGCCCGAGGTATGTCGGGGCCCCAGGGTATACCTGTATTTCTATACGGAAAAAAAAAAGGGGGTAAAGTAAGCGATGAACGGTTATATGGAAGTTCGTTATCTTTAAAGTTAGAAACATGAAATAGTTAATATAATAAAGCTTAACACTTTTAGTTTCATTGTTTCTTTCTTCAAATGCGCTAAGCTCGGGAAGCACTTACCGGATTTGAATCATTCTTTTTATATTGCATCCGTGTAGTGACGGATTAATAATACTGATTGTCACCACCTCTATTCATCCCGTGGGTGTCGTAAGAGCCGACTAAGGGAGCAAACTATCCAGGACAACAA